CAGGGTGACAGAGAGGAAACTCCCAAGAGAAATGGAGGCTGGAGGCCTGAGAGGATGTAACCAGACAGGACAGGGAAGACAAGGTCAGGGAAGGAGGTAGAGGTGAGGCAGGCAGGAGGGGGCAGGTGAGGGAACAGAATCGGCAGCTCAGAGCTTACAGCCAAGGTCCCGGGACAGAAGGGACCTGGACGCTCAGCCCAGGGTCCTCACAGCATCATCAAGGTCCAGGATGAAGCCTTCAGAGCTGGGCAGCACCCAGAGCTGGTGCGTTTGGGGGGGGGGGGTTGAAAGAAGTAAAAGAAAGGTATGTCCCATTTAAAAGTGGGTAGAGCTGCCATTCACCCAAGGATCTGCTCCCAACAGGGCCCCTGCAAGATGAGGTAGCTGGAGGCAAACAGCATGGAAGAAGGGGGGTCTGGTCAGATAGAGGCCCCTGGGGGAACACTCCTGAGGGCCATGGGGGCTCCAGACCCTCCTTTGGGGGGTCTGCGTGAATCCCCACCCTCCAGCCCTCTTTAGCCTGGCTTTGGCGTTCTCTGATGGGTCTTTGAACAAGCTGTCAGCCCCTGACAATTTTCCTGGTTGACACCAATAGTTTGCCTTTAATGCATTGGCCCCATGAGCCTTGGGGCATCCAGCCAAGCTGCTCCACTGGCCTCATAGCCTGGGACAACAGGAAACTGGTGGCTGAGCACCCCCTCCCCTTAGCCCCCAGCTTCACAGCCCTAAGGTTCTATGCCAGGCCCACCTGGCCAACTGCCTACATTCCAGGCTCCCACTTAGGAGACCGAGAAGCTCGTTAGAGTCTCAGGCTGGTCACGGGGAAGGGCTGAGGGTCAAGAGACCAGAGTGGCCCTGGGGAGGAGTAGGGGGACTAGAAGGCTCTGCTAGCTGATGGACAGCACTCCGCCTCTTTCCTAGGGAGCTCCAGCTGGGGCCCTGTCCCTCAGACTCACTTCTGCCCAAGGTCCTAAGCAAACTTGCTAATTGCCTCCCCAGAGACCTTCTGCACTGGGACCTTCACACATGCTATTCCTTTGCCTGGAATGTCTGGGACTCAGGTGGATGAGTCATCACTCTGGCCCAGGGACACAGTGAGAAAAGGAAGCCACTGTGGCGTGCCAGAGGGGCAGACTCAGGACTGGGTCCGGGAGATCTGGGGAATTCTTCACAGCAGGGTTTTGAAGACTAGGTAGGAGTTTTCTGAGGGGAAGAACTGGGGACAGTTTTCACAGCTCAGAGAGAAGATAGCGTGGATGGTGGGAGAGGAGCGACCCAGCATGACCCTGCCTAGTTCTGAAAGAAAAGATGAGGCACTCACCTGCTGGAGAATAACCATGGTCCTTCGTCAGAACGACAGAGCACCTACCGGAGTGACCAGATACAGCTCTGTGGGAAGAGACCACACCAGGCCCTGAGCCCCGGCAGCTGGGAGCCAGCAAGGTCACCCAGGCTCCTCCCCGGCCCCCGGCCCCTCCTCCCTGTGGTCGGTCAGAGGGACCACAGTTCAGTCTCTCAGGTGCTGTTATCACCTCCACTGCCCAGAGCGGCCAAGCCTCTGTCATTCTCTCAGGCTTTGTCATCCAGACCCCCCAAGGGCTTCTAGAAAGTAGCGGATTTAGCCCCACACCAGACATACAGGCAAAGCTCAGAGGATCGCCACTTGCCTAAGGCCACACAGCAGGGCAGAGAAGATTCAAGACTAAGCCTTGGGCTCTGGCATCCCAGTTCAGGGCTGCTCCAGGAGTTCCAGGTCATGTGGTAGAGTGGTTTATCACTTGTCCATGGCCTTCATCTCCTACCTCAGCCAGCACAGGGTTAGGCCCAGAGACTGCCTCAAGGAGGATTTGCTGCCCTGGGCATGGTCACCGGAAGCAGCCCTAACCCATAGGCCCACGTGTGAGGCCCCTCTGCCCTGCCTGGCCTGTCCCCTAGAGTGAGCATTAAGTTTTCACAAGGGCCCATTCAGAGGCACTGGGACATCTGATCCTTTGCCCACGACACTACCTGACACCTGAGCCTTGACCCCCAGGCCCTGGGTCTCTATGGGCACGTGGTCCTTCCGGAGACCTACACCAGCCTGGGTACCTGGCAAGGAAATAATTGCATGGGCAGCAGGCAGCTGGTCGGGGAGCTGCCATCTGAAGAGGCTGCTGGCTCCTGCCCCATCCATGCTAACATGCCAAGACAGACTGGGACCTTGGAAGGTGCTGCAGGACAGAGCCGAAGTCCCATGCATCAGGGAAAACCATGGGGCTCCTTTATCCAGTGCACGAGGCTCGGGGCGTTCTGTCTCCAAAACTGAGAGAACTAGACCATGTGTGAGTTTTTCAGATTGGGAGCATAGAACTATTTCTCTTTTTCTAGGACTATGTCTGACTTTACCTTGTCTCCTCAGCAACCCTGGCTGGTGGCCTTCATATTCCCAGGTCACAGATGGGAAATGTAAGGCATTAAGGCACACACACAGAGAGAATAACTTGTGTAAGGAAAGAAAGATTGTCAGAGAAAGACAATCAAAAGAGAGAGACCAGGAGAGAAGACTCTCCTCCCCTCCCCTCCCCTCTCATGGGGATGCCCCTGGATGCCCCTGACCCAGTCCCAGCCCAGACACAACTCCACAGGCCCTTCCCTTCCTCTTCAGCTGTTCCCTCCCCCAGGGTACAAGCCTCCATGTGCCCTGCTCAGGACATTTTCTTTCCATGGCTGTGGTGGCAAGGCCCCTGTGGGTTGAGGGAAGTCCAGTCGCAGGGACGTGAGGCTGTGGGTCAGGGGCTCCAGAAGAGACCCCAGCCTATGACTCCTCCCTGTCCCAAAGACTCAGGGCAGCACACATCCTTACCTGGGTCTTATCCGCACCCTCTGAGTCACCACCTCCCAGCCTGGGGTCAGGGGCCACAGGGCAGGAGGACTCTGGGGCTGGAGCCTGCAAACGCTCTGCCCCGGCCTGAGTCTGGCTCCGAGGCTGCTCTGGGGTCCCCTGGGCTTTTCTGTTTCTTGCCGTCTCCCTGGGTCACTCTCTCTGTTCAGGGCAGCTGTCCAGCCGGCACCGCCACCCTCCCTCCCACTCCAAAGCCTTCTCCCAGGAGGCGGAGCCCGAGGGGGCCTCCAAGGTCTGGATGAGGTGACATCAGCACTAAGGGCGGGCTGGCTGGGGCTGGGACTAAGGTCCAGAGGCCGCCCTAGGCGCCTTGGGAAGCACTGGCCAGCCAGCAGGGATGCAAGGCGTGGAGGCCCCAGGAGGCCCTGCTGGCTGGTCTGGGGGGCCCCATCTGGGCCTCGGGAGCCTCTTATCATGACTGTCACTAGCTGCTGTCTCTACATGGTTGGGACGCCTGATCTGGTCCCACCTTGGTCATGATTTTGCTGGGCCTCAGCTCCCAGTGGCCTCCCTGCAGTTCCTCTCCTCCATAGCATTACAAGAGACCCTCTAGATGGGCAGGCAACACCCGGGGCCTTAGGGGACACAGCACCCAAAACAGGACTCCCCAAGATGTGACCCCATGAGGCTCTTCCACCCACCTCCACAGCTTGTCCTGGGGGTCTTGGGTGTGTTTGCCAAGGCACCCCATCGGGAGCAACATCATACAGGACAGAGAGATTCATCCAATGGGAAACAAAATGTGCAATCTAAAAGGATATAAAATACTCATAATAGGTGAGGAAGGGGGGCTGGAGGACTCCCTCCTGAGACCTGGCCCTTTCACCTGCCCGCTCTTGGCCAGCAAAGAAGCTGTCTATGGGCTGGGGGACGTCTGCCGCAGTAGGAGGGTGGGGCAGGGAAGCTCAATGGCCCAACAGCGCCACCTGCTGGGCACAGCCGACTGCTACAAGACCAAGGTCGAGGGAGCAACTTAAAAGAAATCAGCATCTGCAGGTCAGAGTCCTCAGACCCCAGGGTGCCACAGGGCAAGGTAGCACAGAGACCAAGGCTGAATGGCGCCCAGTGCAGGCCTCACCCATGTGGCTGATACTTATGGGCCAGGCAAGCAGCGCGGGCCTACAAAGAGTCACAGGTTGGAGCACCCAGAGCTTCATTGGGGGCAGAGGTGCATGGTGGGAAGGCCGTGGGTGAGAGGGCAGTCTTGGAACCATAACTGCTATGCTTTCTCAACACCCAACCCAGGAGACCTAGGAACCCATTTTAGTCTGTTCTGTTCCCCCAAAACCAAACACCTGAGATCAGGTGGTTGTCAAGGATGCTCCTCTTGGCTGTTTGGAGGCAGGAAACTAAGTCCCAGCATAGTGGTCACACTCTCACTGCAATCCTGCCTCTGGAGAAAGCATTCATCCCTTCCTCACCACCTCACACTCCACCCTACCTCCCCAGGCTCTGCCTGCTTTCTGCACCGTCTAGAAGGGGCATGGATTTCCAGCACCTGAGCCGTCCTAGGGTACCACATCCGAACCACTGCAGAACCGGTCTTAGCTCATACCACCCTTGCCCACCTTTCTCTCACCTCTTCAAATCCCATCTATCACTGCATTCCATCCACTTCGCTTTCAACAGTCCTAGTCCACCCTCTGCCCATCAATTCCTGTCTCTAGCAACCTGACCTCCCCAGCATCTCTGCTCTGCTCCGGCCACTTGTCTGTGGCCTGCGCTGTCTCCTCTCTACTGAACAGGACAAGGGCCTTGACCTGACAGGCTGAGACTTAGTTCCTAGGGGCTTCCGGGCTACACTATCAAGAACACTGCGGTGTCATGATCAGCAGATCGGTGTGTCTTCCCGGTTGCAGGAAGGCTTTTCTGGAGCAGGGACTGTGCTTCCCGGGGCCTCGGATGGACAGGGCTCAGCAAAGCCAGTCCCACACCAATTTGTAGTAGGGGACTTGAAAGATTCCACAGAGCTCACCAGGCCACCAGTGAAGCCACCAGCCTCATCCGGGACTCCCAAGTCCTTCCTTGTTCATCCCTCTGACCCAAGGTCAGCTACTCATTGTCCCTTCCTCCCTTACCCTCCCCCGGGGGAGGGGTAGATGAAACAGACACACAGAGATCTTTCTAGAGTGGCAGTTAATATTTATTCTGAGAAGATAACATGCCCTTGACCCCAGGGCATGGTGACCTGGAGAAGTGAAGGCCAGGTCCTGGCGGTCCATGTAGTGTGGGCTACAGGGCTGATCGCCTGCAGCGGGCACACTGAGGCCTCCCGGGTGCAAGGGCCAACAAAGCCACTGCTCTTCCTGCTCCACACTGTCCTCACCTGTCCAGTCCTCAAGGCTTCCCGGGGACCAGAGGTCCCTGCACAGCCAGGAGCCAGCCTGGCCTCGCTTGGGAGGGAGGAAACAAGAGCAGGGCTGCTGGCCCGTCTCTGCTGGCGGTGGGAGGCAGTGGCAGGCAGTGGCTAATCCAGAGAAGCTTATACAAGTTGGCTACTTGGTCCTGGTTTGCCCCGCGCCTCAGGGGGATATGGCTGAGCTAAGACGCGCATGTCAGGCCCTGAGACCCAAGACGGCCTAGCGGGTGCTTTCTCCTCCATTCCTGACTGCAGTCTTTGTTTGCAGTAGCCATTGGGAAGTGATTATGCGAACGTGTGGAGTATACGATATAGAGACACGGAGAGGAAGTGGTGTGACCTTGCTCTGATTCTTGTAAGAGTCCCCACAAATAGGCGTCACCAGCCTCACGCTGCAGAGGGAGGAATAGAGGCACAGGAGGTTTAAGTGACTTGCTCCTGGTGGCATGCACAATCCCAGGCCCAGGCCCAGGTCTTTGAAGGGAAGCCCTAACCATGCAGGAGGAATCCTCTTATCTTTATTTCAGTGCCTAGCCCTCCCCATGGCCCAGGCCCCAGGCTAGGAGCAGAGCTACCACGGAGCAAGATGGCAGTCAGAATCCAGCACCTCCAGCCAGGAAGGGGACCACACAGTAGGGACTGGAGACAGAAAGTCACACTCCCAAAAGGAATTGCTGCTGTTTACCTAACTGTACTTTATCTACCAAGCCTGGTCTGGCAGCCCAATGAGGGCACAGAAGGGACCCTGTGAGCCACAGAACCAGGACTGAACAAGAGTCCCTCCGGAGTGCAGTCTGCAACCAGCCTGAGGACGCCCAGGAATGAACATGCTCATCTCTACCTTCCTCTGAGACTCCTCTGAGAAGGTCCCACTTCACCCATGTCCTTTCATGCTCAATGTCAAAATAAAAGCAGAGGACCCACAAAATGAGTTAACAAAGAACAACGGGTTGGGACAGACTTCCCTTTACACTGAGATTTTTAAAAAATGCTAAGACTATCAAATGTTGAGGATTGAAAAGAACGTTGGTGGTCTGGAGAGCAGGAGCATGATGGCCTCCTTGGCTGTCTGGGGGATGCTGATGGAGAGACCTCTGGTCAGGAGAGGCAAGTCCCCGCCTGTGACAGCCAACAGATGACATAACCCTGAAGGCCTGGCACCACCCACCCTGGAGTCCTTTCTTCCAAGAAAACCCCAGTGTCTTTCCACAGAGGGAGCACATGTCCCCTAGGGACCATAGCCCTATATCGACCTGCCTGGAAATAACACTTTCTCACGGGTGTGGCCACAGCTCTTCAGGAGATGGGAGTTAGGGTTATCTGCCTCTGAGAGGACCTGAGGCTAGGGAGGCCTAGGGCGGCTCTTTGGGCCAACAGGGCAAACCCATGCTGAGTAACTCAGTGGACGGGAGGAGGACCTTAGACAATGAGCGCACGTCTCCTGTGTTCCTCTCAGCAGATGCCCACCGAGGGTTCTTCCAAGATGGCTCAAAAGACAAGGTGTAGTGGGACTGGAGACATAGCTCAGTTCACAGAATGCTTGCCTGGCATACGCAAAGCCCTAGGTTCGATACCCAGCACCATATAAACTGGTGTAGTGGCGCACGCCTATAATCTCAACACTGGGAAAGTGGAGGCAGGAAGGGGAGAAGTTTAAGGTCACCGTAGCTAGAGAGCAAAGACCTGGGAGGGGAGCTAGGAAACGGGGGGGCGGGGGGGGGGCATGGCAGTTTGTGTGTAAACAAGTGACATCTTGGCACTCCTCGGCAGACAGTGGGGCCTGGGGGGAATGTTTTCAACAGAGAGAGCCCCTTAGCAGCAGTGCCCACTGGGTGGAGCTACTTTAAATCTTAGGCAAGAAAACTCCCCCACACGAAGGGAATTCTTCGGGGCCCTCCGAACACCGAGGCTCCGGGACGGGCAGGGCTCTCCTCAGGTCACACAGTGGGTCAGTGGGAGAGTGGGGGAAGGGCCCCAGGGTCTGGTTCCCAGGCTGGTCCCAGGCCAGGTGGGGACATGCAGGTGGTGGTGAGGGCTGGTGGGGCCAGGCGGGCCGGCCGGTGTCACACAGCCGTGAGAGAGGCGCTGCTGAGGACATGCACGGCCACCGTGCCCGGCAAGTCGCTGGGCTGCCGCCTGCTGCGGTCCTGGAGGTGGAGCGTGTGGAGCGCCTGCAGGTCATCCGGGTTGGTCTTCAGGCACACCTGGCCCAGGAATTCATCCTTCAGGACGCGGTGATTCCAGATCTGAGAGGAGACAGTGGGGGTTGTGTGTGTGTGTGTGTGTCCAAGACCAGGAATCAGGTGGGTAGGGAGGTGGGTAGGGAGGGCAGGGCCTAGAAGCCTCTTCCCTCAATACCAGCCCAGCCAGGGGAAGGCCCGTGTCCTGGGGGATGGCCTCTTCCAGAGCCTCGGGCTCCTGTCAAAGCTCTCTACCACGTAGAAAGCCCAGTCTCTCACTATTAGCTCTGGTAAACTTGAACTGGGGGGTAAACCTGGACTTGACCTAGCTCTGCCTCCAGTCCCTTTTTCTCCTGTTTCTGAGACAGGTTTCCCTGTCTAGTCCTGGCTAGCCTGGAACTACAGGCTATGCAGGTATGCAGATCAGGCTGGCTTTGAACTCACAGAGTTCTGCCTGCCTCTGTCTCCCGAGTGCTGAGATTAAAGATGTGTACCACTTCATTCAACAGCTCATTTTTAATATTCAGGTTGAATCACCTGCCCCTACGGGTCCTTCTAGCCTCAGTAACTACAAGTCTGTGATTTGATCCAGTGGGACCCAGTGTTAAGAACACTTGGAAAATCTAGTAGATCCCTTGGGGTGCCAGACGTTTGTTTACAGATGGTTTCTCACCCAGAGAGAGGCTGCTCTGGGCCTGGGGACAGAGGGCTTCCTGGTAATGAGCTTAGCCACGTTGACCTGAGAGGAAGGAGCTGTGCCCAAGGACACTGGCATTCGAATTCCCTCCTCAGAACTCTTAGGAATCAGCCACATGCCACATGCGATCCCTGTCACTTTCCCAAGTGGATCCACCGGTGGGGGCTCTGAGGAATAGTGACCTTGAAAGGCTTGAACCACTGACTCCAGCTGGGAGACCAACCTTGCTGCCCCTCAGACCCAGACTGAATGGGGAGCGGGTGTGTGTATGTGTGTGTGTGTGGTGGGGGAGGGACGGGCAAGACAACAGAATCTAGCACCACCAGGTCCTTGTATAAGGCTCTTGTGCCCTGGGCCCCACCCCTAGGAGTTGGGGGTCACGGGAGGGGACAGGACGGGCTTGTGAAAGGGCCTCACCTGCACGGTGATGGGCTGAGCCAGTTTCTTGCGATAGAAGACGCCTTTCACATTGTACTCTGGTGTCGAGGTCCCTCTCTGCACAGCTGAGCGGACCTTCTCACCCTCACACTTGATGATCACATAGGAGTTTGCCCCTGGAGGGAGGATGGGGAACTGGGGTGAGGACGGGCTGGTGCAGAGGCCAATGGGACAGGTGTCCGGGAGGGGACATGCCAACCTGGTCTTAGTCACGAAGGGGAAGGGAGACAGGAGCCTGGTCCACCTTCCAGACAGGAGTCCTCTACCTTCTAGGGCAAGCAGAGGAAGGGATGCAGGGAGCCTCTGGCCTGCTCTCCAGGAAGCCTTCCTGACCCCCCAGTGGCCATCTGACGTCCCCACCACATGGGGACGCAGGAGGTGAACCTCTCTAGAAGCTCACATCACACCCTGGATGGCTGGACCTGCAGAGTGAGTTCTGTAGGTGCTGGGGGTCTCAGGGGGCTGGGGTCTGTGCTGAAGGAGACAGGGCCTGAGGTAATCTCCAGGTGAGCTCACCTGTTGACGAGTCCTTGAGGCCAGCAGCCCCCAGGACATGGACCTGGGTCACTTGCTGGGGGTAGCCACACAGGGAACTCCAACAGGTGCGAGGGGGCTCATCCAGGCACAGCTCCCTGATATAGGGCAGGGTGGGGGACAGACAGATGGCAGGAAGATAGGAAGACGGGTTCAAAGTAAGGAGCAGTATTTACTGCAGACGTCCATGAATTCTAAGCCAAACCTCCCAGCAGACCCAACCATCCACTGCACGGGCTTCCAGCCTCTCTGTCCCTCCCCTAGGGTCCCATCCTCCTCGAGGGACCACAGTGCACTTAGTACCACCTGCATGCCACAGCCTCTGTTGGGCACTTAGAAACATTATTTCTCATCCTTAAAATGGTTTTAGCAGCCCACTTCCCCCCCAAAGCCAGTCTCCATGGGACAAGTGAGAGAGTGACAAGACCCACCCTAAAATCCAGCTCAGCCCATATTGCCACAGACAGCATGGTGTCGGACCCCTTTTCTAGAGTTGGGCCCTGTTTTCATCTATCAAATGGAGTGGTTAGGCCTCCCATTGGGGGTGTGGGGAGATAAATAAAATCCGTGAAAGCCACTTTAAAAAACGGAGTCACTGTTCCTAGTCAGGACCAAGAGAGGCTGGGCAGGCAAGCAGGGAAGGGGAGAGCCAAGGGGCGCCCATCTCTGGGGACGCTGGTGCCTGGACGCCCTGTCTTGAGCAGACAGCCAGGCTTGGGCTGCGGACTCTACCAGGCCCAGCATGGACTACACCGTCACCAGCCCCAGCCTCAGCGCACCGGCAGTTGGAAGGTACATCCGTGAAGACTCGGAGCAGGAACTCGCCAGTGTGGCCCGGCTCGAAGGTGGTAGGGATGATGACATAGCGACCCTCGGGCTGCTCTGTCCGCAAGAAAACGCTCCGGGAGTTGATGTAGATGGAGCTGGCGGCCTTATGCTGCAGGCTGTGCATCCGGTACTGGCGGTTCTCCTCCACCTGCGTGCAGACAGGAGGAGATGGGCCACAGGCAGCCCAGAGTCTGTCCCATCTCCCGCTGGCCACCGTGGAAAGGTCAGTAGGGATACATGGGTAGGAAATGTTCAGAACTAGCAAATGCATAAAGACAAAATTAGGTCAGGGTCGGGCTAGGGCAGAGGAGGGTGCAGGAGCACAGAGGTCCCTGTGCTCAGACAAGCACCAGGGAGACCAGGAATGCCAAACACCCAGGGCTGTCTCTTCCAAGGGACAGATGGACAGAAGTCTGGGAGTGGAGGCAGGCAGTTAATAGCCTGGTGACCTCTGCACTGTCTGCATGACTGAGACCACACTAGGTCCTCCTGCAGACACCTAAGATGTCATACACAGCCAATCTACAGAAACTGTCTTTATGGAAGCTGTCACATGTAGTCATGTCTTAAGCTTTATTATGCACAAGAGACTGAGTTCATTATCACCGGGAAACTTTTTTCCAAATTGTGCTGTGCTTAAATATGCCAACCGGTGTCACACTCTTGAAGTTCAAACCAGCACCAGTTACTGAGTCACGTTGAACTGGAATTCCTTCTTGCTTCACATGGATTGACACTCTGCTGGCTATGGTGTCTGCAGAGACCCCTCACGGAAGGGTCTATTGGATTGGGTGGCGATAACCTACTGGAGTGGACCTTCTCTTCACAGCGATGATCATCTAGTGATGATGTCACTAGCTGACATGCTCAGTTCAGTGGCCTATGACTTTTACCTCAAGAAAAATTATTTAAAAGTAGGGGTGGGTGAGAAACCCCCTGGTAATCCCAATGACCCTACAAGGTTTTTTTTTGTTTTTTGTTTTTTGTTGTTTTTTTTTTTTTGTATATGTGTGCATATGACGGGAGGCATGCATGCCACAACACACACGTGTTAGTCAGAGGACAACTGTGGACCTGATTCTACCCTTCCACCTTTACACATGTCCAGGGACCCAGCTCATGTTATCAGGCGTCAAGTGCCTTTACCTGAGAAGCCATCTTGGTGGTCCTTCTCTTGTTTTGCTTTGTTATGTTTTTGAGACAAAGTCTCTTATAGCCCAGGCTTGAACTCACTCTGTAATTGAGATTGTCCTGGGGCTCCTGTTCTCCCGCCTCGGCTTCCTAAGTGCTGGGATTACAGGCGTGTGTCACCACACCCAGCCTGACCCTGGAGTTTTGCCACAGAGGCATCAAGCACAGTAGTCCCTGACACCCATCCCCACCCCCCACCTCCACCCCCAACCCGGCTTAGCTACAGTTCCATTTTCCATGATTTCAGTTACCTACAGTCAACCATGCTCTGAAAATAGCAAGAGGAAAATCCGGAAATAATTTCTATATTTTCAGTTTCAGATATGCTGAAATCCTGCACCATTTGACTTTCCTCAATCCAGAACATGAGTAACCTTGCTTGGCCAGCACTGTGCTGTGTACTGGACCCATGCATTAACTGCTCAGGAGCTGCCTTTGCTATGGCTATGGTGTGGTGCTACCCATGGTTTGGGACACCCACCGGGAGTCTCTGAACTTACCTTCATGGTTTGGGAGGCCTACGTACCGTGACATGCCTAACTCCCAGCCCACACCCATGAAATGATGTCAGCAGCTGCCAGGACATCCTAGACAACTCTTGAAAAAGCACTGTAGGCTACAGTCCAGTCAGTGCAAGCTATAACACGGCACAAAGTCTCATAGCACATCAACACACTATGACCAAGCCAGCACGAGGGAGTGAGCAAACCATCCTGCCATAACCATCAAATGCTGGGGACCAAGCGTGCACTAGGATCTCACATCCATGTGCGTTCAGTACGTTCTCAAGATCTGACATGCATGTGGGGACCTGAAATGTCACTGTCTCCCCACACTAAGCATCACATGTGGAGGACAACAATCCAAGAGGAGCGGCCAGAGGTGAGTCTACCTGTCTCTGCACAAGGTCGCCCACTTGGCAGCCCATGAGGTTGCAAAGCTCCCAACACAAGCCCAAAGCTTCCAATACAACAGGCTGCGGGGGATGAGAGGCCCAGCTCTGGGGGAGGGGCAGCGGGGCCATCAGACACACAGGACCTCCCAGAGCCAACAGCTAGTATCCCTCACCACAAGTGACGCTGGCCTGCAGGTCTCACCTTATAGATGTCGAAGCCGATGGCCAGGTTCTCGCCTTTGCCTTCTCTGCGCGTTGAACGCTTGGGCCGCTGCTGAATGCAGATCAGTACTTCATCTTCTGGCTTCTTGACTTCAAAGATGTACTGCAGGTGTGGCCATGAAAAGAGACCCACGGTGAGACCTGGGGCAGCCTCCTGTGCTCCCAAGAGCCTGGACCCAGGGGCTAAGCCTCAGCCATGTCAGCAGCATGAGCTTGGGCCACCCCATCAGCGCTCCGAGTCAGTCCCTGGTCTGGGAGGAGAGCCTATTAACTCACACTGGCCACCTTGCCTGAAGATGGGGAGAGCTCAATGATTTGGTAAATGCTCACCTCAGAGCCTAGCACACAGTAGGTGCTCAATAAGGACACATTGGGGTCTAAGGACTAAGCACATGGGCTCTGACTGAGGAAGCTGCTGGGGACAATTCCCATGGGGGGCACAGCCTGGCCACATTTCCTGGGACTAGCCAAACTGTGAGACCGTGAAAGCAAGGGACCTGATCATCTCTAACCGTCCCTGAGACTCTGGACAAACACATTTAAGTCCCTGAGAGCGAGTGTCCTCACTGTGACCATGTGCAGTACAGACAGAAAGCCTGGGACGTCACGTTCTCAGACAGTGTCCACCAGGCCCTCACTGCACAGATAGTCTTATGAGGCTCAAAGACAGTCAGGGACCCTCCTGAGTGATGCAAGGGCCCCTGGCAGGGCAGTGATGAGGTCTCACGGCTGCTGCACGGTGGGGCGGGGCGGGGTCCTCGCCAATGCCCACCTGTGGGTTCTGGAAGAAAGTGTCCTTGTGGTTGATGCAGCCTCCACTGCGGTTCTGCTGTGGGTCCTCATGTCTCGTCCAGGCGCCACGCAGCCGCGCCTCCTCCCATGTCTTATGGATGCTCAGGTAGGACGTGTTAATCAGGCGGCACTTAATGATGTCCGTAAAATACCGGCACACGTCCTCGAAGGTCATCCTGTGGGTAGGAAGGCACTGAGCTGGGCGAACCCCATAACGCCCTTAACCACCGCTCTACAGAAAGCAAGCTGGACACAACACCACCAAGACCCCAAATCTCTCTTGGGCCTCAATTTCCTCTTCTGTAAAATGGGGGTGAACCTGCCAACAGTTGCCTGTCTCACGGGGCTGGCAGGGGGTTAAGCAATATGGGAGTGTGCAGCATTGTTTCGAACACAGAGAACCGCTGGCATGTCAGCTGTGCACAGCTGATCTCGTGTTAGTAACGAGAGCGCACCTCTAACGCTGTATTGCAGTTTGACAGTTTATTGTTGGGAGGAGGATGCAGGTGTGCGTGGCATGCATCTGGAGGTGAGAGGATAGCCTGTGGGAGTTGGTTCTCTCCTCCCACGGTGTGAGTCCCAGGCACTGAAATGAGGCTGTCAGGATTAAAAGTGCCTTCTCATCAGCCCCGCTGTGTACATCATGTCTAGTCTGTTTCTACCCGTTAGCTTCCATGGCTGCGGTAAGCCCTGAATCAACTGGTGGTAGACAACCATCCCCCACCCCCATCCCCGCCATGGTAAGCATGAGGCAGTGACCAGGCAGTAGCCATGCTCCTCAAGGAGCATGGGCAGGGCCAGGGGAAGTGCACGGTATGAATATGCATGAGAAGGCCTTTAAAAGCAGCCATTTCCATGGAGGAGCAATGTGACGGTTTTAACTCAACTGACTCCTGAGTCAGACGGTCCACAGCAGTGCAGACTGGAGGGCCTGGCTAGCCTACCCCACACCCACAGAAGGGGGCTTCATCAGGATACTAGTATTGCTGTCATCTGATCCTGGTTGGTCTGGGGTCTACATGGTATCTACCTCACACCGGGTACCTTGTACCTTCCCTCCCATAGGCGGCTGAGTCTCCTATCAAGGGTGCTGTGAAGAACAGCCCTGCACCAGGACAGGGGCCGGACAGAATCCACTGGTGGAGTGGATTCAAGGGATGCACATAGGGGGATGTATACAAAGGAAGGAATGGATACAGGGGAATG